TTCCCAATCCAGACATGCCATCCGTAACCTTTCCAAAATGTGATGTCAATGAAACTGCAGCTGGTTAAAGGGCTATGTAGGGCAAAAAGTGGTATTAGTGGCTAATAAAGGCTAATTCTTTTGCAAGCAAAATTAGCTCGCTTCACTAGCTTGTTATGACTTGAAGTGTCTGGCCATTGAACTATGCATCTGGCTCATTTGTTGATCTCAAAGAGATCACACCCTGACTGACAGCTGTAGTGGACTGGAAGAAAGTAGCCCAAATGAGTAAGAACAAGAGGACTTCAGTTTGTGTGACTTTGGGACAGTAGCAATCCTGCAAACAGCCTTAATAAGCAGAAGAGAAGAATCTGACAAAGAATGTATGTGATATGGATCCTGGCTTAGGGCAGTAATTTTTCCTAAATGACTGGTTCCTAATGCTCAGCTTTGTTGCCTGGAGATGCTGCCTCCCAATCCCAGTATACACAACTACTGAAGAGACACAAATGTCCAGTAGCTGAATACAACAATCCCAAATAATCTCAAGGGGACTGATTTTGATTAAGTCCCAGAAATTCCTGTGATACTCTGTAGTAATTCAAACTGCACCAGAGTAGCCTAAGCTCTGTGGATGTGTATTTATTTCTAACTTGAGTTGTTTTGGGGTAAACACCACATCAGAGTGCATTTATTATCAAGTTCCTGTTACTGCACAATGTATCTGTACAGATTCTAAACCCCTTTATCAAAAAGGCTCATTTCCTTTTTTTTTCTTCTTAATCTCACATTGGTTTATCCAGAGCTGTTGTCCCTGACTTCCTTTAACTTGCTCTGCATCAAAGATCTTTTAGTGTCTTCTCTGCATCCTTTCTTTCCTTAGCACATACTTAGAAATGTCTGTGTATACACAAATACATGCGCGTGTTCATGCATATTTTAATCCATTTCTGCTTCAGTCCTGCAGCCTTCTGCCCGGTCAGATCAACCAAGGGCTCTTGGGAAAGTTTAGTGCTAGGGAGCACCAAAGCACATGTTCCTTTTGTACTTTGAGCGCTTCAGAAAAGTTTTAATGCCTCCTTTATTTGTGCAAAAATTGCTCAAACATTCCCAACTCTCTGATAATGCCACACAGACAAATGTTCATTAAGATGAGGACTGATTACTTTTTCACCATGGTATTTGCAGGTGATTTGAGACTCAGTGTTAATACAGGTCATTGAGATGGAAAGGTTGGTGATGCTGCCTTTTGTGCTGTTAAACCCTCAAACGTTGTTTCTGGATTACAAGTTTATAGACCATATTTTCATACTGATTTACATTCTTAAGTAAATTCTAGATCTCAAACTTTTCTTCATTATCAAACATAACTTGAGATAAAAAGAGACCTTGGACTAATGAATGAGTTTGGCTTCTGCAGTGTGCCTAGGACACTTTTTTTCTCTGGACCACAGACTCCTGAGAAGTGCTGCCACTGACATTCTGGCAGAGGCTGGAACAAGAAAAGGAAATCTCTCCAGAGGAGACCTGTAGGGTCGAACTCATCAGCCCCTAAGTAAGAGAAACCTACTCACCCATAAACGTGATGGCTGCAATTGGGCCTTTGCATCTGCATTGTTTTGTTCTGTGTTACATTTTTAGGATTGTGCCGTGGTTGGCAGCTTTGTTGCCCTGAGAGGCTAAGACATGATGAGAGTGGTATGAATGCTCTTTGTTTACTGAGGATTTCAGGAAACTATACAAGATGGAACTCCCAGGATTTTCTCACATCAGAAGAGACTTGTCTTGCAGAGAGAATGTAAAGTCTCTGATCCAGCCCTAGACAGAGACTTAAGCAATGTGTGGAGAGGAGAGAGGAGTTGAACGTATGGTGTTTAAGAAATGATAACTTTGCGTGTTTAAATGATAATGAGAAGAGAGATCTTGTGGCAACCCATTTGGTAGAAACAAGAACTGAAGCTAATGGATCCTGAACAAAACATGACAAGCAGTAAAGCATTTGCTGAGATAAGTTTATATCTAGGTTACAAGAGAAGTTGGTGCTGCAAAACCCTGTTTGTTTACAGTTACAGTGGCAGAAGTTCATCAACACTGTGACCACACTGAGGCTGCAGATGGCAATCACATCTGCTCTGATATCGAGTATGGAAGGATTAGTACCTGGTTAACTGAAAAGGCTAGTAGAGAACTTATGAAGACATTTTGATTTTTAATAAGAAATCAGAATAGTCTGTTTCTTGTTGGATCGGGAGTAAAAAAAAAATAGTAAATTAATGTAGGTTGTTGCCTGTTCCTGTTGCTGTTCCTGTTAGCTTTTACCATTTATCCTTCCCCTCGGTTTGTACCTTGTAACACAACAGATCTCCAGTGTGGAGTGTTGTAGATTACAATCTCTTTAATCTTTTTCTTGTTACAGGCTATACTGAAGCCAGTGTTACTACATTTTCCTCTTCTTTTCCTGCTGAAGAAATTCAGCTCTATACAAATATTCTTGAGTTTTATTTTTACTGCTATTCTTCACTTTTTTTGGTTCTTCTTCAGTACCTCCTTATCAAAGGCCATGCTCAGACCTTTATTTCTTGTACAGTATCCTTGCTTTGTCCTGCTGTAGATCTACATCTCAACTGTTTGTCACCAGCTTTTCTGTCTGTGGTATGGGAAGTTGTTTTGGTATAATAGAAACAAACAACACCCAAACAACAAACCACAGTGCTACACCAGCAGCCTGCAGTGGTGTAGTTGTCCCACTGTTGAACTGATAAAGCCAACAATGCTGAAGCATTCCTAGTTTTGTGCTTTGGACTCCTTCTCTGAGTTGGTTTCCTGATTTGTCTGATCAGCTTTGTGCTCTGAGAGCAACCGTTCTGCTGGTGAGAGTTACAGCAACTAGATCTCCATCTTTCCCTAGCATAGTCAAAGCAATAATGATGACTACCTCTGCCTGCATTTCCTTGGCAAGCTTCCAAGAAATATGTGTACTTAATTATAATTTGCTCTCTGTGGTTGGCAGGAATATCTTAGCTTTCAGTATTTCAGCAGTATCTCTACAACAGTTTTTAAGTCTTCACCTGTTCTCCTACATAACACGGTTACAATTGGGTTGAATATATGCAGCATTGATGATTGCATTTATTGTACATGCAGTGAATTCTCCTTTCATTTTCTGCTTCATCTGTCTGTTTTGACTTAAAAAGAGGAAAAAAACAAAACAAAACACTTCTACCACTTTCTTTTGGAAAAATAGTATCCACTTCCTTTGGAAATCTTTCACTCCTTCCTTGCCTGCGCATCTAGTGTGTCACGTTAAAGCTGTTACTGAGTTTTAGGCAGAGAAGCAGTTGTCTGTCAAATTGCTTCAAAAGAAACCACAAAATGAGCAGGTCATAAATCCAGAAGGAGCACAAGAGTGGGAATATGAGACCTGCAATATGTAATGTGACTCTTTCAGGCCAACCTCCCCTATTGCCACCCTGGTGCTAAATATACTACTGGTGTCCTTGCAAGAAACCAAATGCACGAGCTGGGAAAGGCAGTGGGCAGCATTAGTTTAGGGATTATTTCATTTCTGTAAATTTCCTTGATGATACACTAAAAAGAGAGTAGCTAAATTCTCCTAATTGTTTATTTGCGACTACGGTGGTGAGGTTTCACAAATATCAGATCATCTTAATCAAATGTTTAATTTTTAATCTAGCATTTTAATTTTTAAAGAGATTTTTGTTAAGAATTGTCTTTGTAAAAAAATCCAGATACTTATCTTGCTCTCCAGGAATTCCTATTTTAGATTAAGATAAGTGAAATCTGCATTTGCAGTTCATGAATAAGTGTTGTAAGGTAGGAAGGTTATTTCAAAGAGTTTAGCTTGCCTGTGGCATTTGTATTAGATAAGTGATAAGTCAACTCTATGTTGTATTGCATTTTACACAGCATGCAGATAACCAACCTAGTGAGTCCTGGAATGAACCTTTCCCTACTGTTGGTGAGGTGGTGTTTTGAACTTTCTAACTTCAGGAGTAAGGAAAAGAAATATTGAAAAACACAGATTTAGATTAACTTGAAATTAATTTAAAAAATTCATATGAATTCTTATTGTATATATAAAATTATATATAAAAATAGTAGGTGAACTTTGAAGTGCAGTTAGCAGCTTTTCCAGATTTCATGTTTTTCACTCATCTCTATTTTTCCTGTCCAGTTTAATGATTATGCTTTATTGTTTCCAAACTGAATTTTTAGGAAAATGTGTAATTTTTATGATTTTCTAGTTTGTACCTTTAGTGCTACTGATGCTGTACAGGAAGGCCATCCAGGGTTGTGATCAGCACCTCTTTAGAATCTTAAGCTTCCTTTTCACTGATGACAGAGACTCGCTTTGAGCTTTCACATCTAGCTCTCCTTTGAACTTGCAACAAATTCCCTCAAATACTTTGATATGGCATTGCAGCACACTTTTCATGATCTCTATCTTGCTGTTCAGCAAATAGTTCAAGTGTCTTCTTTCAGCTTTTTTTTTTTTTCCATAGAATTTTCTGGTTACTCCATTGGCAAATGAAGTATTTAATGGCTTCTAAAAATTAAATACAATTGTATCCACAATACTTGGATACAAGTTGATTGTGAAATTGGGTAGATTTTATTAATGTGACTTATTTCAGTGTTTTGAACATACAGTAAGTTTCACTAAGTTATCGTGAGTAACAGTTTTTATATCTTGTTTTTAAAAGACTTGTAGCCCCATCCCAATGCATGTGGATTCCTCATGTCTGAATTTGATGCTGATCCCAGGGCAAGGACCTGCAAGTGGTGCCACGCTGTGGGTCATGGCTTGCATGTGGGAGCACTCATGTCAGGTTGTGCCTCATGTGCCCCACCCTCTCCAGAACCACAGCGTCGAGGGACAGTGAAAGGACCAGTGGAGCATTCCTCTCCCTTGCCACTGCAGGGGACAAGACTTGTTTATGAAACTAGAGAGGCTCTATGAAATTTAAGCCATTCAGCTTTTTGCTGATTTTCCATTCTAGGCCTTACAATGAAATTACTGCTGGATGAACTCAGAGAATCACCTTGTGGTTTTGAATTAGAGTTTCTCCAACTACAAAGTTGAGAGGTAAGAGTTAAATTATTTTGAGATATTGAGATGGAAAGAACCATGATTATTACAGCTGTACAGCTTTCTGTTAATGTCAGAAAGGGACACGCTATGGTCTTGCATTCAGAAAGAATCAAATGCTGTGAAACTAGTGGGAGTGTAACAATAGCATGAGGAATGCTGGTAAAATACCAGCATGACATGGCTTGAATTAGAAATATTGTATATTTGCCACATGTTAGAAGCCACTAACTGCAGTGGCTACTGTAACTGATTAAGAATTGTATGGGAATCTGCTTTCAATATCTGTGCTTTAAAAATATCTTGGAATGTAATACTGGAAAATATATTTCCTGAAGTCTGCCTCAACACCATTTTGTCACTGACTGATTTCTGGTTTTGTTCTTTTTTCTTTTTTCTTTTTTTTTTTTTTTAATAATTATTATTATTTTTACTGCAGATTCTTCATTTTCTTTTCCAAAGAGCTAACATTATCAGAGATTACATGCTGAAGATCAGCTGATAAAACATTAGGGTGTGTTTTTTTGTTTGTTTGTTTGTTTGTTTTTCAATATATCTCCTGGGTCTGTACTTGAAGTGCCTTGAAACTTAAACTCAGCCTGAGTAAAGCTTAGTGAATGCTTGAAATTATTATCCTCTACTTAGTACTAAGGAAAGGAATACTGTAGTTCCAAAAGTATAATCATGGTTACTTTTCTTTGGTAGGGACTTGACCAGCATTAACTCACTGATACTGTCATTTCTGCCCTGTGGGTTTGAAAGGTCAATGAGAAGATTCCTGTGTACCACAGAGAAGAGTAAGATAGCAACAGATCTGTGAATAAAAGTTACATCTCTGACGCAGATTTCTTCCATAGTGTAGAACAAATTTATTTCCCATATTTTTTAGCCTACTCATCAGCTATATAAAACCTCTGAGGTGTATATGCTCGCAAAATACTCTAAAGCAGCACGGTGAAAGTTTAAAAATCCTTTAAAAATGTTTTGGTGAGGCCTCAGACTCCCTCTGGAGTTGTCTGTATTTTTACTATAGGCTTAAATTGTTCAGAGTTAGGTTTAGACCATAGGACATAGCTTGTTGCACCTTTATCTGCATTCAGGACACCTCCTTCCTCCTGGGATACTCAACAATGGATAGCTGTTGAGTGACACTGCTTTGTGTAACCTGGTTAACATAATATTCTGTAGCTTTGCAGTGTAAAACTTGTCCCCAAAATTCTTCAGCCAGTTTCGAGACCCTTCTTTAGCTTCCCAAAATGTCTCCTTTTCAGTAGCTTTTCATCATGCTAATTCATAGCCCACTGCTCCTTTTCTCACATTGTCTTTATTCCCCCTAAAATAAATCTCTCCTTCCCTGGCCTTACTTAACTGTCTTGTAGAGCTTACAGACAGGCTATCCTCTGAATTCAGTGGCGTTAACACTTACTGACCTACTGTGTCATTTCTTGAGAATCATGAGAGCTAGTCTGACTGTTGACTCAACTATGAGTGTTGTTATTTTTGTAGCATTGATATTTTTCAGCTCTAGGAGCTTTTATGTTTTCTGTATGAGCCTACAGAATCATCAAGTCTAGCATTGTATACAACATAATCCACGCAAATAAATATAATAAGGAGAAAAAGTGTCAGGTACTTATGGTCATTTATGGCCGTCAGCTGAAATACACTGTAAACTAGTTTTAGGTATTTTGTTGAAAAAAACCTGATCTTAAATCTTGAGCAGTGTCAGAACGTTGATAGCAAGCTTGCAAAGTAAGACCTACAGTATGATGTCAAGAGAATTAATCATGTTAATTCCAGGAAATTTAAAGTGACACCTCTCTTTGTCCACAATAGAAGGGAAACTAAAAAGAGGCAACGTTTGATTATACTCATTAGTTAACAACAAAGAAAAAAAGAAAGAAAAGTGGCCCTAAGCATTGTGAGAGGAAAATTAGGATTATATATCAGGGAACTACTAGCCAAGGAAAGCAGCTGCCAACTGAAGCTTTGGAATCAGCAGCACTGAAGATATTCAGAGCTAGGCTAGACGTCCATCTATGAAAATGGGATAAAGAAATCAGTCCAAACACAATGTAGGGATAATCCAACAGAGTGCTCTGCCAAATTTCTACCCCAAATAGTGTATGATTTAGTTGCAATAGAAAAGGAAGGCATTTCTGCTTGCTAAATCTTTCACTGTTTTAATCTTAAAAGCAGAAATTCTTTTTTTTTTTTTAAACAAAACAAAACAAAAACCCCAAAAACCCAGAACTTAGTGTTAATAACTTTTCTTATTTTTTACTTCAGTAGCGTTTAGGCTTTGCTATGGTTTCCAGACACACTGATCCTAGCTTAGACTGTTGTTATATTTTTTCAAAATTAATATGTGTGTATATACACACATATATATATATACACACACACACATATAATAAAAAATAGGTCTTAGAATGAAAAATTGTTTCACAGTGTCTTTTCATAGGAGTTTTCTGGAGATCGTCAAATCATTCATACCAAGCCTGAGGAAAGACTGTCAGAAGGATATTTATTTGTTAGAGGTATGTAGGATAGTAAGACTGGAGGGCTAGGATGGTTATAATATTGTGGTTAGGTGTTTAGCCTATGTCACAAGTTCAAATAGAGGCCAAGAGGGATATTCATCATTCATTACTACTGAGTTATTATTGAAATGGGTGGTGACCTACTCCTAGTGGCCAGGCAGACAGCAGTGCAGTATTCAATACCAAAGTAAGCTGGCAGGCTAGCACTCAGCAAGAGCTGGGGTCCAGGTTTTTAGGGGTGTCTATCCCTTTAATATACAGGAAGTTGCCTACTGCAGTTTTGGACAGTTTGAAGGTGCTCACCTGAGACTACAGTGAAGTGGAGTTTCACGTACCTAAGATCTTTACAGAGACTAGGTAGACATTTGTCTGGAGCATTGAGCACCTTTAAAATTACAGCCTAGAATCCTCAAGATGTTTTCAATGAAACTGATTCACCATTTTTCAATGCAACCTTAATAAGCCTTTTTTTCCTCATTGTTTAACACAGCACATACTGTGAATGAAGAGAGATGACAGTTTACTTGTTTTCAAGTATTTTTCAAGTATGCTGCTGCAGGCATAGTCTCCTTTCACAGCAATGTCTTCCAGTACAGGAGTCATATCACAGATAACAGACTAGTACAGAGATGGAGCAGATAACAGTTTTAAAGAAGCTATTTCAGACATAGAATTAGTTTTTAAATAACAAATTGATCTTCAGATTGAGTAGCAATTTTCTGTAGATATGTGACATACAGAATTTAACCACTGTAACCACAGTACTGTCTGTACCTTGCATTTCCTTATTTATACTGTAAATATTAGTGCTAGCTTCTAAGAAATGCCAGAATAGATCGAGGATGACTCTTAGCAAAAGTAAGCCTGCCACATTGCCACTGTGTTCTGAAGACATATCACGTGGTGGGAGGGAAGTATGAATATCTGCTATCTGATGTATACAATTGAAAAGGGAAAACACAGAATGAAATCATCAAGCCACATTAGCCAAAGTGAACAGATAAGAGAGGGTATAACACTGGAATTGTAAACAATCAAGCTGAGATTACATTTCCATGTATAACAGTGTGCACCTTTAGATGTGGAAACGAAAATGTTAATACTAGTGGCTTATCACTGGAAATGTTCAAAATGCTTCAAGGATGGGCCTATAATAGTTATGTGTATAACCCTCCCTCCCCTGCTATTTTGTGTACTGTTTGAGATTGTTCTCTAAGTAACTCAGGCCGGAAAATGAAACTCAACTGACCTCCATTCAGACTCATGCCCATGTGTTTGCTCTCTGCCCCCACACCCTGCTTCCTCTGCTGTGCCATAAGCACTTTGTATCACCACTGGTTAGCTCCAGCTTTCCCTTTCTTTCTCCTGCCCACCTGGGATCCCAGCACCCTTCACAGCCACGGCACAAAAAGAGTCGCATACACGTGCTGCTCACAGTCTCTGTCTTCCTCCTGTTGGTGAAACCACATGTGCTCAAAGTTGTAAATAAAGGTGGCAGATAAAATGCGAGAAATGTGGCAGAATCTCTATTTCCCTCATTCCTTCCCCCTCTACCACCAAGAGAGGAAACCACAATGGCAGGAAGAGCACAGTGTTTCTTCCCAAGGACACTCATTTCTGCAGTCAGTAGCTCACATTTACCCAGATTTTGCTTTCTGTGTTGATACACATTGAGCTTAGCAAAATATGAGGCCTACTTGGACATTTAAAGTCAGTCGAGTAGGACATTTTGGTGGAGGAAACAGTCAAGTCGGCTACCACATAATGGGAGCTTTTATAGTCTACCATTCAGGCAGGGCTGCTGAGCCAGCTCACAGTAAGAATGTGCAAGTTGTGCTGTTTTTACTTGCTACTGGTCTAGCATTGACCTGTTTGGAATAACTCATTCATTCTTGCATACACATGTATACACCTCTCAACAAGATTTTGGGTGGATTTTCTGAAGCTGATGGTTTTCTCAGAAGACTTTGCCTGTGGTGAGCACACTTCATTACCCTTGTTGTGCCACTTCATAACTTCTTGTTAACTTTTTATATTTTACCCACTATTCCAATGCAGTGTTTTTTATTCTCTGGTTTTCAGCCACCACCCTTGTCCATTTTTCACTCTTTCTAGCTTGCATGCAGACACCATCTGGCATTACCCCCAGGGTTTCCTAGACAAGGGCAATCTAGTTAGCCTTGTGAAATTCAAACCCCAGGCAAGACAAAAACTGCATAAAACACCATAAGATACTTTTTCTCACTTCTGTATGAGGAGCAACTACATTACTTAGGGCAACTGTAAGAACAGAAATTTCATCTCAAAATGAGTTATCCTCTCAACCAACCTATTCTTTTCCCCAAAGTTTTCATTTCAATTTAATTGAGTTACTACAACTCTTTTCCAGTCAAGCGAAAGTTTGACCAGCTTGTGTGTAATTACAGGGCTTCAGAGTAAAATATCATGTAAGGAACTGTCTGTAACAATGCCTGAAATAAAGTAGATTGGGAACAGATTTAGTAAAGAAATTAGGAAGTCATTCCAGCTCTCTTTTCTTTTAGAAATAACATATTGCAAATAAAATCTCTGAGGCAAGATTCTGGACAAAGACATTCTTTTGAAAAGAGACCACAAGATTCCTGGTTTTCTTAATGGATAAAGCAGAAAGAATTGGTCTCAGTCTGGGACACTCAAAATGCTGATCCTTTTGAACAATGTGGACAAGTACAGAATATTGTCCAATGTATTCATCCTTGAGGAGAAATAAACAAAATTTGTGTGCTCTGACTGTCTCATAGGAGTTGAAAAAGAGCCCCTCCCTTTCTTTTTCATGTTTGCATGTTTTCAGAGTTTCCAAAGGAATTCACTTGGGCCGAGCATTTTGAGCAGTATATCTGATTTTCTCTGGAAAATGATGATCTAGTTGCACAGTTGTGAGGTTTGGGGCCAGAGATTCTATTATTTATAGCTTTAAGAATTTGAAGTCAGTATGGAGCTGTGTACCTACACTAGTGTAATTCCCTATTGCTGGCCTCAGAGTAAAAACTGAGGTGAATTCTCTGTGACAAAGTAGGCTTCTGAACTATAAATACTTGTTTCTGACTTTTCAAGTTTGTTATATTTTGCTCTCCTGACTTCACAGTTACTTTACTGTTGTGTGTTTTCACAGGAAAAATTCATATTGTGGCCTCGCTCTGACAGCACTGGGGCAGTGATATGATGAAGACAAGCAAATTTTCCATTGCTGTATACCATGGAAAGGTAAAATGTAGCTGGCCGCTTCCTCAGTTTGGCAGTCACAAGTATGTGAAAAGAAGGTATGTGCAGCAATATTTGGGGAACATTGATACAAAACATCAATTTTCAACCTCGTTATATGTCCTGTGACAAGCAACATATACTGTGGTCTGTTGTCAGTTTGATTGAAAATGCATGACATTTAGATGATCCTATAAGATGCAGGTGACAGATATCAGCTGTATATGATATCAATCATATGTCAACTTTTGCTTTGCAGTGATCCTGGGTGAAAACTTCATTTTGTTTTTGTAAGCCTGCCTTGATGGTATATGGGATCCTGGGCTCCATCAGGAGAGGGGTGGTCAGCAGGGAGAGGGAGGTGATTGTCCCTCTCTACTCGGCTCTTGTGAGGCCCCATCTGGAGTACTGTGTCCAGGTGTGGAGCCCTCAGTACAAGAAAGACATAGAGATCTTGGAAAGGGTCCAGAGGAGGGCGACTAAGATGATCAGGAGGCTGGAGCACCTCCCCTATGAGGACAGGCTGAGGGAGTTGGGCTTGTTCAGCCTGGAGAAGAGAAGGCTGCGGGGTGACCTCATTGCAGCCTATCAATACCTGAAGGGAACCTACACCCAGGAGGGGAGTAAACTCTTCAGAAGGGCTGACAACAGCAGGACTAGGGGAAATGGATCCAAGTTGAGGGAGGAAAGATTTAGGTTGGATGTTAGGGGGAAGTTCTTCACAAGGAGAGTAGTTAGGCCCTGGATCAGGCTGCCCAGGGAGGTTGTGGATGCCCCGTCCTTGGACGTGTTCAAGGCCAGGTTGGACGGGGTCCTGGGCAACCTGATCTGAATGTGTACGTTTGGTGGCCCTGCTAGGCAGGGGGGTTGGAACTACATGATCCTTGAGGTCCCTTCCAACCCGGGTGATTCTGTGATTCTGTGATTATATTTTGCCAAGATCAAAAGACCAGAAGTAGACGGGCTAATGTTAGCAGGGGAGGTGGTGTCTGAAATTAATTACACAGCTAGAATTTTGCAGGCTGGAACTGAGTTTTTGTTGCTCTGTAAACTTCTAAAATGGTTCCATTTTCTATGGTGTATGGAGAAATATCTAGCTGGTTGAAAATGTTGCGTCAGTCAAAAGACACAGTTATTTATCAACAGTCTCAGAATGGTTAACTTTTTTAAAGAATGTGAGATGTAAATCACCAATCTCTGCTTTTAATGCATGGGTTCCTTTTCAGTCCTAAGGAGTTTGGAGCAGGAGACCACAACATGTTTGAAGTAATTTTGATGTCCGTTTTGCATATTTCTAAGGTATCTAAGATGTGGCTAATAATAATAGCAGGTGTTGTCTTTTTCTCTCAGCATGTGACATGAAAGTAGTTTGGCCATAGAGCTATGCATTATTTACATGGTGTCAACACGTCAGCAAGTGGGATGGCAGAGAGCCAGGTTAAATCACTTCAGATTTTAAACACAGGACACCGAATAATAACAGTGTCACACTCGAGGACACAAGAATCTGGCAAATCAGCAGTAGAACAGTGTGCCAAGTTCATTTGAATGGCTTTTTTTTTTTTTTCTTTTTCCCCCCACTGAATGATGAAGGAATCAAAATTGAGAGCCAAGAAAATGTAATTGGTTTTTTTTTTTTCTTTCTTTTTTTTTCCTTTTTTTTTTTTTTTTCCTCCAAAGTAGAAAATTGTATTCAAAAAATAACTTTCTTTGATTACTTAATATGAAGATGCATGGATTTCTGCCCTTCATCCAGAGGTGTCTACTCCTGACAATGCACAACCACACTATGGTGCATCTGTCAGCCCTTTGTCTTTGTTTCCATAAGTGGTAATTCTATTTGATCTTTTTATGTTCTTCCATTAGCTTTTTGTAGAAGGTAACGCAACAGGTCTGCAATCAACCAATGGGCCCTGTAAATGTATTTGTAAAAGGCAGTTACATTATTTAGAATGGGTGCTTTAAGGGTTTGAGGCTTCAAGTGAATGTGAAGTGAATGGAGCACATTTAGGAAGGCTGCTCTCAGCCATTACTACTTTTGCAGCAGCTCTGATATCTGTATCACCCCTACGACTTGTTCACCTTACCAGCTTGCAGAAAGCTAGCTCAGCATAAGTAAAAAATGGATGGTGTTCTATTGGTTTAGTAATCCAACCAGGCTCACTCGAGGGCCACATAAAAGTCAGAGAGGATGGAATAGAGGCCTGCATGCCAGAGGATGTGGGGAAAAGTGAAGGCAGCAGGGCTGCTGGCTGAATTCAGCCATACTGTGAACCTTTACTCTAGAATGCTTAATGCACAAGGAGGGGCTGATGGAAGATTAAAAGAAGCATCCAAAATACTGGGATTCATTTATCTCATCACTGTAATACCCTTTTTATGAAACTAGAGCTGTTTATTCTCATAAAACCCTTTTGCTTTTTTAATTTTAAGGGACAATGCAACCATTGGAATCCATGCACAGTTCTTTCATGTTAAATGCTTAGTTCAACATTCCACTTCCATTTCCTGGTAGAAAATGTTTTATGTGAAAGCAACTTTAACCTTTCAAAAGGGTTCATTTACTGTTACGTTTAGTATCAACTTTCCAAAAAATGCAGTCTGCATTTGGCATATTATGGTTTCTGGTTTTAATATTGGTTTAGGAAAAAAGAGTCATGTGCCATAAGTCAGAAATAAAATACAGCGCCAGAATTCTCTCTATATGTGAATTCACTCCATGAGCAAATGGTTTAAAGTAAGTCCGATCACTTAAAGCCAAGACTTGGGCTCAATCTAACCATGAACCAGCTGGTAACAAATAACACATTCAACAATCAGCCACAGGAAACTGTTAGGTTGCCTTTTTACAGACGACTACAGCTCTAAAGCTCCAGAAGCACGAAGGAATATCATACGGACTTGGAAAGTGTTGAACACCTACCATATGCACATAAAGAAGGGTAATAAAGATAAAAGGCCTGAACAGAGCTTTAATTCCTAAATTTCTGCTTTTGATTTATCAGCTACTTCTGCATTGCCATGATTTTCTTTGGCCTAAGATTAGGTAGAAGATGCTTGATCAAATCAGTCAAACTCGGGCTTCCCGCTGTGAATCTAACAGATGATAAATATGAACTTGTGAGTACTTTCTTGCTTTCTTTTCAGCATTTTTGTGCATTAATTTCTGAAGTGTTGACTGTGGTAACAATGCACTGCAGTAGACAGTTCCTGACTGTCTGTCCCTGCTGGGATGATGCTGCTGACATGGTGAGAGGGATGCTGAGTTAGAAGAGCTGCATCAGTATGGCTCTGAATTTGAGCTAGGGCTGACATGGTTGGGTGCAGTACCATAAAGACATGACTGAGACACTCTGTGGACCTTTACAGCACCTTTGCATAATGCTGCAGTGTGCTGTGTGACCATCTCAGCTGCCAGGTTCATCTAGGAGTCTCTGTGTTCTATTGCAATGTTTGGAGATATTCTGAGAATTACAGTTCAACAGGACTTCTGCCATCACTAAGCATCTCTTGCAGAAATATAGTGCCTTCATAGAGGCCTAGCCATGAGTGAGACAATAAAGACTAATTCTCAATGCTGCTGAGCTTCAGTTTCTAATAAAGGACTCAGAACTTGTAAGGGTAAAGCTTCAAAGTGCATACCGATTTACAGGGGGAGGGCAGATAAGAGGGTGGTAGCCCACCCATTAAGTCCACCTGGTCTTAATATATGATAGCAGTCAGTCTTTGCGCGACACACTCTTTCCATATCCTACTTTGCTACAGGGAGTGAGATTTCCAAGAACTGGGTTGACAGTGTGCTTATCAAAATTGGGTACACTACAGAGCCTAAGTCTTTCAGTCATACATAATAGTTTTATCACCCCTTGAACTGCAGCAGCTAAATCTGACATTGATGGTGAAGCAGACCCTTAGAAAAATAATATTTATGACATTTAGTAACAGTAATCTTTTCTGATGATGAGTGCACGTCCAATGCTTTAAAGATGTAAAAGTCTGCAAAAATGCAAATTATTATTTTATCTGGAAATGTGTTTTGTGGTATCCCAAAAAGTACTCTCATTTTTTATTCTTTTTTTCATGCGTGTTCAGGAGTTCTCATGAATTTTCAGCCATGAGTCCATCTGGAATAATTCCACTGAGAGAAGAAGGCTTCCATTCTATCAAGAAAAAAGGCTGCATGGAAATCACGGAAAGCTACAGAAAAAAGTATCAGTCATTGTTTAAAAGCATTGTGGCCTGTGAAGATGGAAACCAGAATGGGAATTTGTTTCCAAATTTTATAAGCTTCTAGAAACTAAAATGATGAGAAACAAATGCAAAAAGTTCACAGAAGTACCAGTTACTTAAAAAAAAATCTTAAGTCCTTATTCTTTTATGATGAATAAAACTGATTAGAAGGATATTAATTAACCGGCATTATAGCCATCATTTAAGCAGGTAGAGATATTCCTAGTATGTTTGGGTTGCCAACTGGATTAGTTTTATACTTCTCAGTTGCTAACAATGAAGTTATCAGCCACTGGAACAAATTATTGAGAGGAACAGTGAGCTTACCATTTCTTCAAGTCTTCAAACTGAGAGTGAATGGTATGCTTTAGCAAACAATGGAGACACAGCTGGGTGAAATTATATGGTTGTACTAAAGAACAGGAAACATGAGATGTTCTATGTGGTCCTTTCTAGCCTTAAGAGCTATAGATCTATAATTTCACAAATACCATTACAAAGAATTCCTTAGAAGTAGTGATGACCACAGCAATAATCTGAATCCCTCTCCTGATTTGGGGTAGATTGTTCTAAAGAATTTTGAAAAATTACAGGCTACGGGACTGTTGCTATGTGGTACTGTCATTACAAGGTTGTGTAACTAGCATAAAGGGGGCACTTTGTAATTTTACAGTATTAGAAATCCCTTTTTGTGGACTAAAGAGACCCTTCTTCTCTCCAAAAGAGCTCATTGTACTTCAGTTCATGAATGAGTGTATAAACAAGTAAGCATGTGTACTGCTTTCCTATGTGATGCATTTCTCTCACTAAAATGTGTTAGATTCACTTAGTGAAAAAAAAATATCCACAGAGGAAATTATAAGATATTGCTAATTAACATAGGCTATTTCTAAGCTAAACTAATTTTCTTCTTGTAGGCTGACCTGAGACAAAGAGAACGCTTTGCCATAGCCAGTCTTCCACTTGAGGACAGCTAAATCATTGTTTTCCATATTTCTAGCAACCTTTGGCATTTGTCAAAACTTAAATACAGTGGGATATTTGGAAATTTGGGAAAGGAATGTATAACTGACTGAACAATTGGACATGAAAAGAAATGGTTCTTCAGATTTAGAAAGATGAATAAATTAACTGACTACATGTTTAGAAGGAAGACTGTGTCATTTCATGCTGACTCTCAAACACCATCCTTACAAATCCATCTTTAACGTTGTCTGATTTAAAATAAACATAAATAAAATAAAATATATAATAAATAAATAAATAAAACAAAGAAAACCACTGCCACCACCAACAAAAATCCGAAAACAACCTCCAAAACTGTAGCCTATGCTGTAAAAGACTATGAGTGTATGAACAGCATATCTTATTGTCAGAAATCACAATGGTCACAAAAGGTATTCATTCAGAATGGTTAAACTATCTCATAAGTCATAAGAGGTAATAACTTTTCTGACAGTATGACTTTCATCCAGAAGGATGGGTTTGGCAGTGCAGCTGAGACATCTGGATTGTCCAAACTAATGCTAGAAAAAATGTAATGATGTAGCTTTTCAAATGGTGACAGGGGAAACTGATGATCTAGTGTCCAAAATGGATATGCATAATTCCAGATGCAGATTCTTGGATTTTAGATTGTAGTTAATGGTTAGTAACCTTTGTTTCTATCTGTATAACTGTTGTTCTCAAATATATGCACATTGTGCCTTAATAACTACCTCTACTGTTCCTCAGTTAGGGTGCTGTCTTCAAGACATGCTTTTGCCAAATGCCTCTCAGGTACGGGTAGGAGCTGATCACACTATGAGAGAAAATCAGAAATCTGATCATTTGTCAAATGCAGGAATTAGTTTATTTTATCAAGCACTCTTATTGAGTTTCCTAAATTTATGACTCATGCATATTCAAATTAATTCAGCCTTTTCTTGCTACCATGTTTCATACTCTGGGGAAAAGATGTTTGGAAAAGCTGGATGTTATAAAAGGGGTGTTAGCTCTCTTAAGCTTTTCAAATATATTATCCTTTACATTTTCTTTCACCTGGTTTATTCTAACAGGCTTACCATCAACAGTGACTATCTTATTTGCCATGCACAGGCCATGTTAAAATACAGGTGCGTATATTTAATACATTAATTTTGTGAGTGTAAAAGAGCAATTTTAGTTTGACTTGTTTGAAGAAACTCAGTTTTAGTCCCTTAGAGATAATCTGAGTAGATCTGTTTTAAAATATACACTGTGGAGAATAAGGATACATTTGCACATTTGAAAGTTTGGAGGTTCTGAACTATACTTCTATTCACCAAGGTGGTTCTCAAAAGTTACTTCTGAGCCACATAGCAAGGAAAATAGAATAAGATTGATCTGCTAATTATGTTCCCTTTGTTGTGTGGATACACAGAGAACAGTTTTCTCATCCCACACAGGTTCTGTTGATCTTGAAATTTTAGGCCTGGCATGGAGCTCAGTGACTTAAGAAAAAGCAAGCATATTATGTCATCATAATGTTCTTTTTTTTTTTTCTTTTTTTTTTTTTTTTCCTTTTTTAAAATTCCTTTTAATATAAACTAAATTGAATTTCAACAGAAGATGTTTTTAACCACAAGCCCAAGGCTTTTTTTTTTTTTTTTTTTTTGTATTTAAGATGTTGAAATGGCACAGTTCTAGAATTTCAAAACCTTTTTTTTTTTTTTTTTCCAAACGTTTTTCAGGACAGGAAGTTCTTCTGGAAATAATTTCAGTTTTTATGAATTTTCATTTGTGTCCGTCTCTCTTCTTTCCCTTTTGAGAGCCTTATTTTCATGTTGGTGAGAGTATTGACAGTTAAATCAGAGTTCTCCTTTTCTATATGATGAAAGATTGAGAGACCTGGGTCTGTTCAGTCTGGAGAAGACTGAGAGGAGGATCTTATTATTGGTGTTTATAAATATCTAAAGTGCTGGATAAAGTGCTGCATATCTAAATGGATGGGACCAGGCTCTTTTCTATGGTGTACAGTGATAGGATAAGGGGTAACAGGCAAAAACTGGAATATAGAGATTTCCATACAGACATGAGGAAAAATTTCTTTGCTTTGAGGGTAACAGAGCACTGGAACAAGAAGCTGCCCAGGCTGGTTACAGAGTCTCCTTTCCCGGAGGTATTTGAAACCTGCCTGGATGCTTGCTTGTGCAACCTACTGTAGGGAATCTACTTTAGCAGGGGATTGGAGTAGATGATATCCAGAGGTCCCTTCCAACCCCAACATTTCTGTCATTCCACTACAAGTACTTTAGATTGTAATTGTTCTGTGTTTTGTTTTTCTATATTTTACATACTCTTCCATTTCAATTATTCATTCACAGTTAATAAACAAGTAGATAGGAGTAGTAATTTTATTAGCTCCTTGAACCCCTTTTCTTTACATCTATCTGGAAGAATAATTCACTGTCACTGATGAACTGTTTGTGTTGATGGGACAAAATCTGATGCCTTCAAGAAATGATTATTAATTAACCTTCCTTAAAATGTCTGGTAAAGGATGCTGGATTTTTATTTTTTTAATGGCAGTACTTGTACATGGTTGCAGTACACTGGAAACAAATGCTTTTTGTGATTTGTCTGAATGGATAACCTGTTCTGCTGAGAAGAAACTAATGCACAAGCTACCTTGCAGCTGGTGATGAGACCTCAATAGCTAAACAGAAGCACCAAGGTTTGGGTAAGTTCTTCACAAATACTACCAAATTATTCTACTGAAAGCCTCTATGAGAAAAGAATTACAAATCAAGTTATTTAAGAGCTCTGAAAAGCAAGGTTGATTCATAAGTATTGAGTAAGGTTAAATAAGGAAGTTAACAAATAAGCGAGAAGAAATTTTTCTCTTTACTAAAACTAAGAAAGCCTGTTTCAGCTGTTTCTTCCTTTCTCCATTCCAGCTGAATATTATTGTAGAAGGTCTACCAATTCAGAAAGCAAACGTTAGCTTATATATGAAAAGAATATTGACAATTACAACAGCTTGTATCTCATAATTCCATAGTTTGGTATTTGGGTTTTATTTTATCCAGAAAAGTTGCTAATCTACTACATTTCTACAGGCGTTGTACAGCTTTAGTGTGTCAAGTCCATGGCAGAATCGACAGACCCTCATGTCCCTGCCTGACCACTCAGGGTTCCCGTGCTTGACCTAGGCTTAGGGCCCCAGCTCAGCCCATGTCCTGTCAGCCACTATCCCAGCGAAGCTGCAGCAGTGTCAGGCTCCAGCTCCCCACTGCTCTGCTCAACCATGGGACCCAGTAGCCAGGCCAAGCCCTGGCTTCCCTGCATGGGAAGGTGCTTGGGGCTGGGACTGCCCCAGTACTGTGCTTCTGGTTGGGGAGGTGGGATATGAGACAGCCCCTGGCTGGTGAGGGCCAATCTTAGCAGACCCTAGGGAGCCTGATGTAGAGTTATTTGGTAAGCCCCTGCCACCTAAATTGTCTGAAGTTGTTGTTGTGTCCAGACATAGCATACAGTCATATTTCTAAAAATATTTATGAGGCAATATTGGCCTCCAGAAGGAAAGGTCTCCTCATGGTAGAGAAGCTGTGTTTCACCAGAAAGTTTTCCTGATGAAAACAAATGCTGGAATCTGCCTGTTACCTTCATCACGGGATGTTCCCTGAGTTTAATGACACTGTGATGTGTTGTATCACAAAAATGCAGGTGAATCAAAAAGGAATTTTTCAGTTATCAGCTTTCTAAAATGAAGTGCAGGTTCATAGCTTTTCTGCCCTGAAAATAATTCTCGCTTTATGCTTAGCTGGGGAATAGCTGAGGTCTTCTAATACAGATGTTGCCTTTATATAATAGCTTATATCACAACTCTTCTATCACAAACAGTGAAAGTTGTGGGAGGATGCCTGATTTTTCTGGGTCTTAAAATCCTAAAATTACTGAGGTTGGAGAATACCTCTATGATCATCCAGTCCAACCATCCACTTACCACCACTGTTGCCCACTAAACCCTGTGCCTAAGTACCACATCTCTACATTTCTTGGACACCTCTAGGGACAGTGACTCCACCAGTCCCCTGGGCAGCCTGTTCCAGCACTGTACTCACAGAATTCTCCAATCTGTAGCTCAGATTGTATTAAGGATACACTTAAACATACATATATACATATATATATATATATATATATGAATAGGTAACTCTATAGCTTTCTTTCATCTTCTTTTGAAATGCAAAGTTCTGAAAGCATAGCAAATAGTCTGAAGTCTATCTGGAAAGTGATTAACTCTACCACTGGGATCAGACATGCTCTTTGCTAGACAGAGGAGGGGAAGTAGATACTCTCAATTTCAGCGTGTCTATATATATACCACGTATTACCAGTAGTACTCTTGTAAACAGGAGGAATTAGCAGCAGCCTCAGCAAAGTATCAGCTCTACTCTGTAGGCTCACAGACAGATGGTGCTTTGCAATGCGTCTCTTTTCAATTGAAAATTCTGAAAGAAGCCTCTCTTTTTCCTTTCAGCATAGGAAACCTCTTGTATTTCTTGTGTCAAGACCTCATTAGCAGCCACTCGTAATGCAAAATGGCAGCCCACAAATTGCAGCTAGTGGGATATCCAGTTAGATGTGTCTTATATCCAGCGCTGTTCTGAAAGAAGTCTCCTATTTGATAACATTGGACCACAGTGTCAGGGGAAAATGTTGGTAGCAGCAGTAGAGAACCTTCCCACCAACATTCCGTTGCACTTTGTTGCCATGTGACAGAGGGCAGCAGAGGGGCAGTCTAACATAATGACATGGAAGTGCAATATGAAGCAAAGGTGTGTCACTGAATTCCTCCATGTGGAATAAATAGCAACCGCTGACTTTCATGACTCTTGCTGAGTATTTGTGGAGACCAAACAATGGATATAAGGACAGCGAGGTGGTGGTGGGTGCACTTCAGCAGTGGCAACAGTGACAGTGGATCACCTCCATTGGTGCAGATTTTTATGAGCATGGCATTCAGATTCTTGTTCTTCTCTGGTGCAGATGCATAGCTAATGGTAGTGACTGTGTTGAAAAGAATGTTTTAAGCTGAGAATTTGCTCAATCAAATAGTATTATTATGCTCTTTGTATTGGTTGTAGTTTCTGTGGAAATAAATAGGAAGCATTATTTTCAGAGCAGCCTATGTATTATGAAAATTAAATGTCTGCATGTAACAGTGCGCTCTGGGTTTCATCCCTCACTGTCTGTATTAGTCAGTTACACTCTTCTGCTCTCTGGTTCATTTTGTATTGTTTCAAAACCTAAATTTGATGCTTAGCATCACTGGTATGTTTGGACTGACATAGCACTTGTGCATCATAACAGGGATCAAAGGAGAGATTTTTGTAAATGCAGTAAGGAGCAGCAGGGACTCTGCCCAGGGAGGTGGTAGAGTCACTGACTCTGGAGGTGTTCAAAGACTGTTTGGATTTTGTGTTGAGGGATATGGTTTAGTGAGAACTATTGGTGATAGGTGGATGGTTGGACTGGATGATCTTGTAGGCCTTTTCCATCCTTGGTGTTTCTGTGATTCTGTGATACCTTTTACTCTTGGAATGGAGGCAGGATGGTGAATTATGGGGAGTAGTTTTCTGTTAGGCACTTTTTACAGCTGAATGCAGAGGAAAAACTTATATATGCACTAAAAGCTAAACATGAACTCTTTCTGTTTACTGGGTTATTGTGTACTTCATGCTTCAAGAAGTCCCAGCCTTTGTCTTTGGACATTTTTTCTTTTCCGCTTTGCAACTCAACGTCTGTACTTCCACACTTAGATCAGGATAATTTTTTCAACTATTGTCGTCCAAACAAAGGTTGATATTGCCCTAACATTATACCTTAGCTCCTGCCTTCAGCTTAAATTCCTGTAGGATCAGCTTAGTAATTTAACTGAAGGTAGTTGTTGCTTGTTACATACCTTTGAAGAGCAGCATTGCTGATTTGCAAGAAGAGAAAATTTATTCTGGAGCTAGGGCATGATACTTTTATGTATATTTTGGAAAATCAAAAGGAAATAAGCAACCTTCCATTTCCTTTTCTCCCCACGCAAAGAAATGAAGCCATTTTAGAGAAGGATATTTAAGTTGTGCGGATGGATGGGATTATTTAATAAGTGTTTGTTCTTTTTCTTTCATTACATGAGGTTGTGCTTTTCTTGGATCATGCAGATTCTTGTAAAAATGTAACAAGCTACTATTCTGAATGTAGCAAATAAGAAACAGATGGATCTCTTTAAAGAATAGTCTATCAGTAATATTAATGAGAACTCATGTTTAGAGACCAGGCACCTCCCTTTCCTTATGCCAGGCTGCTTAGTTTGAACAAAGAGAATCTTCTAGCACTGACTTGCACATGGAGAAGGAGAAAAACGCAGTCTTGGTTGCCTCAAAATAAAGCACAGCATTTTTTGTCATTTCAAGATCTGAAATCTTCTTGCCTTAGTTGAAGTGGCCTTGTGTTGTTCAGTTACCTTGCCTGGTGACACTCTTCTCGATAAAGTAAGGCTAGCGATATGAATGAATAGCTGCTATGGTGCTTCTACTTCTTCATGAACCTTGGCTCATATCACATGCTGTCTACTCACAAAACCTGACTTATCTGCTTGCTGAAAGTGAGCCAGCAAACACAGCTTTAGAAATGGCTGGAATATGCCCTTTTGAACTTATTAATCTCATGAATATAATATGCCAGGCCTTGGGCAAGTACCAGAGATACTCTGTGATTCTTGACTGCTCCCAAAGGTGTTATAGCAGAAAATGTGATCTGCACAAAAGGTGCTCTTCAGAAAAATCAAGTAATAAGGCTGAGATGTTCCTTTACCAAGTGTATTTTCTTTTACTTGGGGTATTTCCAAAATGGGATGGGTGGGATGTACAGTACTTGTTTGTAGATGGAATGATAACTTAATCTAGATAAAGCACATACATACTGTTATTTTAATAAAAGAAAGTAGGCTTATGTTTAAAAGGGAAATATAATATGATAAACATCCTTTTTGTACTGTTCTGGTTATTTTTTTAAACTTTTGTCGAGTTTGAGGTATTTGCCTTCCAAAATAGAATTTTTGCAAGAGTCTGCATGTTTTATAATACCTTTTCCAGTATCTATTGAGTGAGCCAAAGATCTGTGGTCTAGTGGGCATCTCAGTTACAGCTCTTTATTGAGCCTCTAATACATTAGGCTTTAAGTCACACAGACCTTTGTCTTCCAGAGCACAGCTCTTGAGCCTTAAATGTTCAACTTCATCCAAGCTCCAAGGAAAACTCCACAAAATGAATCCATTCTTACTTTAGTAGTGTCCCCAACTCTTGAATGTCCATGATGTTTTGGTTTAACCTAATCAAAGTATGAAGAGCATGAAGAAGAATTTTTTTTTTTTTTTAATTTCATTTTGATTTTAAAGCAACCTGGTGATGTGTGGAAAGAACTTACATTTTTGAATTTTAACTCTATTTCCCTTAGAGCATGAAGTCATGTTAGGATGCCCTATTTAGATTTTTCTGACCTTATCATACATCCCTCCTTTAATGCATCTTAGAATGACTTAGAATAACTAAAAATTTGATATTTGCAGTCATATTCTGTAGATTTTATTAGCATTTCTCTCAAATTGTAGTGAGATTACTTGCAGTAAACATGGTAGAGAACAGTGTGGAGCCAGATACTTGTGCCAGTATCCACATAACCATG